CCCCCAGCCCTGCCCCCAGCCCTGCCCCCAGCCCTGGGCCCCCGACCCACCACTCCTCGCAGTCCCTGCTAATGTGCTGGCCGGGCGAGTGCAGGTGCCCGTGGAGCTTGCAGTGGCACTGGCTCACGGGGACGCAGCCGCGGGCTGCAATGTCGTCGTACACGGTGCCTGACGGTGCGGGACACGGCGTTACAGCCAGCCGGCCTTGGAAAGCCCAGAATCCTCCCAGCGGGGCTCCCTCTGGCGGGGCCACAGCCCCGGGCTGGCGTGCGGAAAGTGGGGCGAGCCCCGAGGTGGGGTCGCCGGCCAGGCCTTCCCCGCCCCCCGCAGGTACCTCTGCTTCGGTGCCCACCCCCCCATGCCGTGGGAGCCTGGCCTCCAGACCACCGTCCTGGGGGCCTCCAGGCTCCGTGAGCGGGGCAGCAGGACGTGTGCGCACAGGGTGATGACCAGGAAGGAGTCCCCCCCACCCAGACCCCCCGAAGCCACCACTGCGTGTGTTTAGGGGGAGGCGGTCTTTGGCATTCGCCAGGGGAGGGGGCACTGCACCTCGCTTCCGGCCCTGTCGCTGCCCCCACCACCTGCACAGCTGCCCCTGGTCCCAGGGCGCACCGGCCTGGGGGCCGCAGAGGGGCAGCGCCCCCACCCCCTGCCCCGCAGCCTCCACAGCACACACCTTCCGGGCAGAAACAGCCGTCCATGCGGTGCTCCTCACACAGGCTGCTGACCTCCAGGTGTGAGCAGGTGTCCATGCAGGGCGAGCTGCTCTCCAGGTAAACCATGTTCCCGGGGCAGCTCTTGGCTAGGAGGGCAGAGGCAGGCCACTGAGCGGGCAGGGGAGTACAGCGGGCGGGGGAGTGGGGCGCCGGCCCGGCCGACTGCTGCCTCACACGCCTCCACCCGGGCCGCCCCACCGCCGGGTGGGCACAGACGCGGCTCCTCCCCGGCCAGGGCGCGGGCTGCCCTGCCCCCCAGACGGCGCCCCCAGCCTCGGGGCCCCAAGGGTGCCCGCCGCCCCACCATCCTGGCGGCTCTGCGGCGCTTACGGCAGAGCTCGGCGGTCCTCCAGTTCCGGGGCTGCCCGCCCGCGTGGGAGCACTGGCGGGAGAACTCAGCGAGAGTGCTGCAGATGCAGGAGGAGCCCGCCGGGCACCCGCAGCGGTCCCGCACACACGCCTGCACGTAGGGCTCCAGCGGCACCAGGCCCCGGCAGTCCTCGAAGGCTGCGGCCGTCAGCAGCTCCTCGCACTCAGTGCGCTGCAGACACGCGGGAGCGGGAGCGAGGTGAGGGCTGCCCACGCCCGCCCCTTCTCCGCGTTGTCCCTAGAACGCCCGTGCCCGGGAACGGCTCCTCCCCCGGGCAGGGCTCTCCGGCCACAACTCACGTGCTTAGAGCAGGACTCCAGGGCCGGCGACTCCTCGGGGTCATCGCACACCACCTCAGGCTTGTGGATCTTCTGCATGTTCCCAAACTCGAGGGCACTGAAGAGCACGCCTGGGGGCACAGCCCGTCAGCGGGGGGGCGCCCAGAGCCAGCACAGCCTGCCCACCCGCCCCCCCACCCCCGGGGAGGCTCTCACCCTCAGACAGGAACTCGGAGTAAGTGTGCAGGCCGTTGTAGTCCCCGCAGAGCCCACACGTGTGGTTCCGGAACTTACTGTCCAGTTCCAGCTGTTGGGGGAAAAGGAGGCAGGTGAGGGGCTGGGGGCCGGCTGGACCCCAGGCCGCGGCAGCCAGATGAGCCTCCCGTGGCCATGCCAGCCTCCCCAGCAGCTCCTCCAAGTGGCATCCACCGGAGGGCTGGATTCAGGCCAGGGTGTCCTGGCACCAGGGGTCACTGAGGACCAGGAGGGGCTTGGGACAGGGGGAGGGCCAGCCAGCTCCCCAGGCCCCGAGGGTCCCCTCCCTGGGAGGGCTGCTCGGCCCCATCTGCTCCTCCAGAGCGCAGCCCCATGGCCAAACCCCTCAGGACGAGGTTCAGACCACTGGCCCCCGCACTCCCCGAGGATCCCAGAGGCCTGGTGGAGGCACCCCGGCCCCAGGCCCATGGTGGAGGCTGCACGCACCATGAGTGAGTCCTCCCGGTTCCACATGAGGGTGAGTCCAGCGCGGGAGTAGACCTTGGTGTAGGCGTCGCTCTTCTCGATGAGCAGCCCAGAGCTGTAGTGCGGGGTGCTGACCCTGGGGCAGGGGCGCCGGGCCAGAGTCACACGCCAGCCCACACGGCCACCCACCGCGGCAGGCCCGCCGCCATCCCCTGCCCGGGGCGGGGCTGGGGGGGCCTGAGGCTGCACGTCGGGTGGGTGGGGTGGCCTCAGCTCCCAGCCAGCCGTGTGGGGACCACAGAGGGCATGGTGGGCCGTGGCGGGACAGTCCCTGTCCAGCCCCTGCCTGCCTATCTCCCTGGCCCCGCCCCTCCTCAGGGCCCGGTCCTCAGAGCCGGGCTTTGCCCACCGCCTGACCCAGGCTGGCCCAGGTGCTAGCTCACCCCAAGTCTGTACCCACCCCGCCGCCGAGAATGGGGGAGACAAAGGACAGACCCTGCTGGAGCCTGGGCAGGAATGCAGCTTAGAGCCCCATTGTTCCAGAGACAATGGGGGACAATTGCCTGGGAGCGGGAGGGGCTCCCACGGGCTCCCCCTTCCTGTAACTAGAGCCTGGGTAACAGGGGGCCCTCCTCACTCGGAGGGCGGAGGGCAGAGGGCAGATGCTGCCTGGGGCCCCCAGGGGAGGGGCGGGGAGCCCTCACGCCCTCCACCGCCCAGCCGCACTCACACGGCCCCGTTGACCACAGCCAGATGGCGGGTGAGGTAGATGGTGTCGTCCTTGATGTTCAGCAGGATGTGCTCGAGCTGGGGGTGCCCCCCGGCGCTGCCCGAGCCCCGCTTCAGGTGCACTGCAAACTCCTTGTAGGAGTCCCTGCAGTCGGACGCGAAGTTGTAGTCACACAGGCCCGGGAAGCGGAAGACGTCCCCGTCGAAGGTCTTGTAGTGGAAGTCGCCCCAAGTGCTGCAGACGCTGTGGCCGTGGTTCTGGGTCCTGCCCTCTGGGGGAGCAGGGGCGGGCAGGGGTGAGCAGCCTACGCCGCCCCCCGGAGGCCTGTCCCAAGGCCCCACCCTGCAGCCGCCCTCCGAGCACCCTCCGTGAGGCCGTCCTGTCGGAGTGGCCCCTGCTGGACCTTGGTCACCCCACCTGGGGGTCTCAGCCCCCCGAAAGGACATCTCCAGCCGCCACACTTTCACACCCCAGCCTGGCACGGGATGCGGCCATCAGCTGGGTGGGCAGCGGGGGCAGAGGGGCTTTCTGGACCCCCGGGCACCCTCTCCACCCGGCCCAGTGCCCCCTGCCCTGTCACTGACAGAATCCGTGCCCCCCCCCGCTGCTCCCACAGCCCCTCATCCAGCAGGACCGCATCCCCGCACCCTCAGATGGTGCCCACGTCGTGTCCAAACATTTGAGGCCAGCTCCCCTCCAGTGGCTTTGTCACCCAACCCACATGGGATGGAGATGTCCCCAGCCTAGGTGACCAGTCTTTTCTGGAACGACCCCTTCATCATGTGCCAAACACTCTGCAGAAGGGCCATCTTGGCCTTGGCCCTCCGAGGGTCCCTGACACCCAGCCCCTCTTGGCTGCCCCTACCTCCACCCGTGGACAAAGGCCCAGCACAGGGGTTTCCAGCAGGTACCACCTCCCGAGCCAGGAGATCACCTTCAAAGGGACGGCGTGAACCCAAGACCACCTGCCCTCCTTCCTTCCCTCCACCCAAAGTCAGCAGGGCTTGGGGGCAGGATGCCCAACCCAAGTGGTACACCCCCAAGGGCTGGGCAGAGGAGGGTCACCTACTCCCAGGTAGAACCTCTGCTCTGGGCCACCCCGGTCTTCCTGCTGCCTCTCACCTCTCTGGAGCTCTGCACACCCAGCAGAGCTCAGGGCCAGGCAGACGGCCACCAGGCGGGCTAGCGGCAGCCCCATGGTGGCTCAGAAGGGCGGCAGGGAGAGCAACTGGGGCAGGGGTCCAGGCCTTATATGGCCCAGGAGGGCCGGCAGAGTGGGGGAGAGCAGGGGAGGGGCGAGGGGTGGGTGGGGCGTTTGCCAGGTTATCAAGAAAACAGCTGTGGGGGCTCCCGAGGTGCCACCCGGGAAATATTGATTCAAGTTATCTGCGGTTTATCTTTTTATTGAGCCCTCGGTAAAGCTAGCCCTCCTCAGGATGCCTCAGCACCAGTGACCCCAGTTCCAACACACACCCTCCCAGCTGTGAGCAGGACCGGGCCCAGCGGGGAGGTCCTGCACCACCACACCCTGGCAGGCACGTGCCCCTCCCGGCCCCAGCCCACCCTGCCCAGCATCCCCGCAGAGCCAGGCCTGAACGAGGCACTTCCCCAAGGGGGGCTCCCAGACAGGACCACCACCCCGTGTTTGCTCCTCTCTCCCACTCTGATCCCCCAGCCTCCCCTACCAGGGGCTCGAGGCCCCCAAGCCAGGGAACATGTGGGCTCCTGGGAGGTCCAGGGGCTGCCCCATCTCGGTGTGGACTCTGCTCCCAGGCCCGTTTCAGCTGGCAGCTCCACGTCCGGCCCCCAGCTCCAGCACACCCCCTAATCCCCTCGTGTTCCCAGGCTGAGCCAGTCTCTGGAATTACCTGTAATTGGAACTTGGGAGCCCAGCCCACAGGCACCTAACTGAAACACATCCTCGGGCACAGGAGGCCTGGCTGGAGGCTGGGAGTGGATGTCCCCGAGCCGACTGTGGCCCAGAGGCAGCCCCAGGCTGGCGGCCTCCCCTGCGGGTCCAGAGCTTCGTCCTCTGGGAAGTACAGGGAGAACCGAGTGGGCTCGGACTCGACAAATTATAATCTAGTGTCCCCGAGCTTCAGGGCAAGTGGGGAGAGACTCATGTCAACAATCACTGAGACTCTGGATGAGGTGGATGCCCTCGGATGGGGGCATGGGACACGCTGTTTGCCTGACCCAGTCTCCCCTCAGAGGTATGACCAGGAGCAAGTGCCTAGCAGGAGTCGGCACCTGGGCCTACCACCTTCCAGGGGGCCCCTCCCTGCAGACAGGACCTCCATGCCACCATGATAGCATCTAGGGACAAGAAGCATGCATGCACCACCTGACGATTCCTTGGGGCCAGTCCCCCAGGGTCTGACAGGGTAACCGGGAGCCGAGGTCAGGGAGCCTGCCGCTCCCAGGGGGCCTGGGATGAAGCCCCTTCTCGCGTCCCACTGCCCAGCCCCAGGCCCGGGAACTGTCCTCTCTGCAGGAGCCCAGGGACCCAGGCACAAGTGTGTGGCCTGAGCCAGGAGCAACAGGGATTAGAAACCAGAGCCAGACAGGCCCGTGGGCCCATTGTCCACTTCTCTGTGGGGCCAAACAGGCTGGCAGCGAGCCCTGGGGAAACCCAAGGACGGGGCCCCCTCACACCCCCCAGAGGCAATGATTTTCCATGACAGGTTTCCTCTGCCCTAGTGGGATTCAAAGAAATCCTGGCCCCACACTGGACACCCAGCCTAGCCCCTCCTGCCCTGAGCATGATAGGCAGGCGTCCTCCCCTGGGATGGAGAAGTGGGGTCCTCCCCTGGGATTGAGAGGTGGGGTCCTCCCTGGGATTGAGAAGTGGGGTCCTCCCCGGGACTGAGAAGGTGGGGTCCTCTCTGGGACTGAGAAGGTGTGGTCCTCACCTGTGATTGACAAGTGGGGTCCTCCCCTAGAATTGAGAAGTGGGGTCCTCCCCTGGGTTTGAGAAGGTGGGGTCCTTCCCTGGGATAGAGAAGTGGGGTCCTCCCCTGGGATTGGGAAATTGGGGTCTTCCCCCGGGACTGAGAAGGTGGGGTCCTCCCATGGGATTGGGAAATTGGGGTCTTCCCCTGGGATTGAGAAGATGGATTCCTCCCTTCAGACTGAGAAGGTGAGGTCCTCCCCCAAGACTGAGAAGGTGGGGTCTTCCCTCGGGATTGAGAAGGTGGGGTCCTCCCCGGGACTGAGAAGGTGGGATCCTCCCCTGGGGTTGAGAAGGTGGGGTCCTCCCCAGGACTGAGAAGGTGGGGTCCTCCCTTGGGACTGAGAAGGTGGGGTCCTCCCTTGGGACTGAGAAGGTGGGGTCCTCCCCTGGGATTGAGAAGGTGGGGTCCTCCCCGGGATGGAGAAGTGGGGTCCTCCCTTGGGACTGAGAAGGTGGGTCCTCCCCGGGATGGAGAAGTGGGGTATTCCCCTGGGACTGAGAAGGTGGGAGTCCACTACTGGGGTCTGAGAAAGGCAACCCTATGTCTCCTATGGGTGGGGCAGCAGTGTTGACCTGAGGCCCAGAGGTCTGACCCTAACACTCCTGGCCCAGTTGCAGCATCTCAGGTGGGGCTCCGAGGAGCAGTGACATCAGGCCGCCAGGCATGGCGTGGAGGCCCAGAGCGTGCGGTGGGAAGGAGCCTGCAGAAGGTGCTGGTGAACGCTCCATCAGGCTGGGGTGACCCACATCGCCCCACCGCCCCCAGCAAAGTCTGGGTTGGCTTCCCATGCTCGGCGCCACCCTCGGATCCCTGGTCAGCGCCCACAGCCAGCTGGGCTGTCTCACTGTGGTCGTGGGGCCCCTACAGGTGAGTCAGGGCACAGGTTCTGCTACATACAGGACAGAAATGCCCAAACAGGGCCACAGACGCCTGGTACACTGAGACACATACCCCATCACCTTTACCACGTGGACAGATGTGGATGTGTCCCTGGAAGTGTCCCCTCTGCAGCTGGAGCACGTTCTCCCCCTGGGACCCACAGGGAACCCCCCCATCCCCAGTCCTCAGTGGAGGACACAGCCTTGCCCAACTGCAGCCAGGAGGTTGTTGAGGAGACGCTGACTGCCCAGCCCCGACAGGTGGACCCCCCAGCACAGGGCCCGGGACACCCAGAGCCTCCCTGCCAGGCCCCACACCCAGCAGTGTCTACCCTGACAAGACACTGCTCCCAAGGCTTGCACGAATTTACCACAGGGAGGAGGCCACAAAGACGTCATGAAACAGCCTAAAGTGAGTGTCGCACTGCTTTCTGTCCACAAACCTGACTCATCAGGAAGTGGAGGGGTTGTGGGGGAGGGTTGTAGGGGAGGGAACGGGGGTGAGGGCCATTGGGTTTGTAGGGGAGGGGAGGAAGAAGAAAGGAATGTGTGGAGAGAAAAGAGGAAGCCTCACACCTCTTGGGGGGACCTGAAGATAACAGTTGTGTCCCCAGCCCGCCAGCCCCCCGTTTTGAGTCACCTAGTGTGAAGGTTAATTTTATGTTCAACAGGGCTAGGCCGTGGTACCAATAAAACACCAGTCTAGATGTTGCTGTGAAGGTACGTTTTAGATGTGAATAAATCACCCTTCATGTGGGTGGGCCTCATCCAATCAGTTGAAGGCTTTAAGAGGGAAAGAAGGAGGTCCCCTGGGAGAGAAGAATTCTGTTTCCAGATGGCCTTTGGTCTAGAGCTGCAATATCAGCTCTTCCCTGGTGTCCAGCCTGCAGGCCCACCCTGAGGCTTCAGACTTGCAGCCCCCACAATTCCTTAAAATAAATCTCTGTCTCTCTCTCTCTTGTATATGTATATATACCCTTCTCAGACCCTACGCCCAACCCCAGTTCCACGGCTCTGGCCAAGCCTCATCAGGCAGATGGAGGGTGTGCCAGAGAAATCTTGGGTTCCCATCCCATGGACACCCAGGGAGACTCCAGCCCCAGCCAGCCACAGGGACAGAGTCCCTGGCAAGTGAGTATCTTAGGACTCAAGAGCAGACAAACAAAGCACCAGCCATGCCCACCTCCTCCCCATGTCTTCCCCAAGACATCAGAAAGGGGAACCCAGACATCGCAGCATGCCCACTTCCTGCACCTTCAAAGATTCTGAAAGATCTGGGGTGTGCAAGCCCAGGTCCCACATCATCTGCCACTGGACTGCAAGGGTTTACTAGTAGGATGTTAACTTACCCACCCCACAGCTGGGTGTAAAGGGTGGGTGGGTAAGCACACAGAGGTATTTATTCTGGATAAGAATGGGGAGAGGCCAAGTCAGCAGTTTGGGCTTCTTGGCCTGGGTTCCACTGGGCAGGTGTCCACTGGGCTGGCCTTCCTATGAGGAAAGGGCCACTGTGCTTCAGAAGACCAGCCACCTTTGGGCAGTCACCCCCACCTTGAGATCTGGCCCAAGTGTCATGCCCTTGCCCTGACCATTGTCCTCACCACCTTGGCCACAATGTGTACCACTGCTGGCCTTTTTTCTATAAGTGCCTTGAGGACAGCAGCCTATGTGGGCTCCTCCATGGGCCAGCTTCAGAGTAGATGTGCTCAGTAAATTTATTTCTGGGTCGCTGGGTGGTGGTGGAGGGAGGG